GTCAATGGATCTTTAAGTGCCTTGGGCATCTGTGGTATAGAATGGGTTGAGTGGACTTGAGTATAAGAGTTTAATGAGTTTAATGAGTTAAGGTTTAAGAGCAGTAACAGAGTTAGTACTATGCAATTGTTAGCTGAGTTCAGTGGCAGCTTTGTGATTATTGGAAAATACATATAGTTCTGTGGGAAGATTGAACCAGAGTAGATGGCACAGTTTTCTATCACATTTACTATCTGAAGTTACTCTTGAATTAATGTTTTGTCACTAATTCTTGACCTATACTTCATTGTCCATAGTTTTATTTTGAAAGAATCACTGTCCCAAGTTCAAGTTGTTTGTCATTTATTTGAAGAGCCTCGTCCTCATCTCAACATTTCCTATCAAATTTTGGGAAGGTAAATGTAACTACTTCCCACAAATGTGCTCAAGTATTTACTAGAAATACATTTTGCAAGGTTCAGTTGTAGTTTCTACATAAGCAGCTCTGGCAAAACCAGCAGCAGGACTTGCAGAATCGAATGCTGTCCAGTGGACCACACCTTGTATCCCCCAAAGTCAAGGGTGCAATTCCCTTTTGTAATCGTGACTCCAAGAACGCTTGCTAACCTGTGCCTCAGGCTGTCCTCTGCCTGTCTCAGCAGCACGGTGATAGCTGCTCAGGTCAGAAACCCCCTTACATCAGCCAACCTTCATCTGCAGCTGGGGTAGGTCATCGTCCTAGTCCCACATTTTTATTGTGACCAGAGAGCCCTGGGATGGGCAGGCAAGCAGCTAGGACAGGTCACTGGGGGAGGCAGCAGGTGCTTGAAGCTGTGGGAAGGGCCTCAATACCAGCACTGTGCGCAGGACACAGCATCTGGCAGGGTCTGAGAGCATCTAGTAACCTTATCTTGGCAAGGTCGGATGTTAGCATAAACAGGGCCCATCTGTGCAAGGCTTCAGGCAACACTTATTTGAGCTGCAAGGGAATAAATATGTAATTTTCCTCTTGTGAGTAATAGATAATGACCTTCAGTGCCTCACTGCAAGTGTTCTGCCAGTGACACTTGTGGGAGGAAGAGTTACGTATTTGCTTGCCTAATCAGCAGCATATTTGGTGTCTGCCATGGATTTGAATCAGGAAGCTGCTTTTTAAATTAGAAGGAAGAGATTTAACCTTTAAAGTGCTGGTTTTTTCTCCAAACAGCAGCCACCTTCATGTGAACATGCCAAGCAGGCTTTGCATTTGTTTTCTCCTTCTTTTGGCTAGATTGTTGAAAGGGTCTCTGCCACAGCTGGATAAACCACAGGAGAGCTGGTAACTCTGCCTAGCATCAGCAAGTCTGGCAGTGCTGTACCATAATCACTAGCACAGGCAGGTATTATTTAGGCTGCTAGTCACCTTGTTAGTATGCACAGCTTACTGCATGAAAATGTATTTCTTCTAGCACTGGGAGATTTTTCTCTGCCTTTAGCTGTATAGACACCAGGCTAATGAGTAGGGACATTATTCAGAAAGTGTCATGAAGAAAGATGCACGCCTGTGATTTAAAAATACATTGACAAGTGAGAAACTGCAGTAGCTTTAATCCAAATCACAGCTCTAGTCACAGATGAAAAGAGGGTGTGAAGAATCAGAGGTGATGCAAAAAGAAGGGATGGTGTTACTACTAAGAAAGATTTTGGCGTGTCCCCTCCAGGAAGTATTTTGCCACCCCATCCACATAGGGGAAGGTCTAAGCAGCTGTCTGAGACCATGTGTCAAGGAGCAGCAACATTTCAAAGAGCCCGAGTATACTAATGGGGAAGTGCTCATTAGGTTGTGAGCTTGCATCGAAGGAGTACCAGGGCACAGGACTGGATGAACTCAGAAGCTTTTTGTGTTTGTAGAGCACAAAAGTGTTCTCGTTTCTTTTATATGCATTTTTACAGACATACACATTCTTGCCTTAGCATCAGAGCACACATTTAAGCAGCAGCAGATCAAGAGCTGCTGTACGACTTCCCCTCCCCTTCCAGATGCAGCCAGCTGCACTGCAGCGAGCGATGGCTATCACAGGAGTGCGGGAATCCAGACAGAAGGGTCTTTGACTACCTGGGGCCCAGTTTGCTACAGGTGTTCTGCAAACTTCCTTAAGAGTAATGCAACAAGCAGCTGAAAAAGAACAGGTTCTGTGCAAAACATGGTTTATACAAGGCAGGGGTGAACAGTCAAGTCTATCTTTTCCCAGAGTGGGAAAGAGAAAGCAGCTTAGTCAAGATGAGCTAATTGGTACTGTTGATTTTTCACGCCACTGTTTGCGGTGCACAGGTACCATCCATGTCTCCCTTAGGAAGACGAGCACATGCCTGAATAGCACTGGTTTGTGAATTACCATGTTTCACAATTTGTCTGTCTCACTCTCAACTGTGCTTGAAGTTAGCAGGTAGGAGAGAGCACAAAAGAGGTGACTACCTTCCCTGTCTCCCAAGGCAAGGCCAACTTCCTTGAGAAAGGGACCAAATAAATGTGAGACAACGTATTGGAGGACCTTGAAGGGAATAAAGGATGAGGTCAAAGGTGAAGCAGCAATGAGGATTGCTGGAGAATTCAGGAGGGTGCAGAAGGGTTTGTGGGAAGTGTGAGGATTTGCTAGCTGAGAAGACCTGGAGCAGGGAGAAGCAAGATGGAGGGTACTAGACCATGGAGAAATAGTTAGCTAGGGCATGAGGAGGAGGGAAGAGGGGCCCTTGTGTGCAGCTGGGCCAGCTGGTGGAAGCATCAGAAGTGGTTTCATGCTCCAGGTGATATTGAGGGGACAGACAAATGAGGAGGCTTGGCAAAACTTTTGTCTCTGTAAATCACGAATGCTCTGGACCCTCTCCTGCAGGTCTTGGGTTTGGTGTCCTTCATCTGGCCCTGTGAAATCTGCGTTATTGCCAGGAAAGCATTTGGCAGGGAAACCCCATTCTCCCAAGGGCAGAGGGGGAGGTGGGAGGAGATTTGTGCAAAGGCAGAGAAAGGCCGTATCTGTGCTCTTTTAAGTTTAGGCTTTGGACTCAGTGCATTCAAACTCAAAGTGCCTGAAGGAGGAAAACCTGTAATATTCATTTCCAGGTTAATCAGAGCTTAAGAGATTTTTTTTTTCCCTATTGCCATAATAGTTGAGTCTAAATAAATGGAAAGAAGGGTTAGTTGTGATGGAAGCAAAACATGCTGTGTGAGAATGAAGGGGGCTTGGCAACAGGCAGCTTGTCGGAGCTCAATTAGCAGCATTAGCAACAGGGCATATACTGAGCAGGGTGAGGGAGGGTGGAGGTGGGGCCAGAAAGAGGCTTCTTGTGCTGCCAAGAAACAGATGCTAACAAGAAACAAGGAGAAATGTGGCAGTGCCCATTGTGGCCTAGCCAAAAAGCATCTCATAAGCTACAGGATCAGCAGCTGCAGAGGCTAGAGGCCATGTGTCAACAAGGAGGGCCTTAAAGCTGTGGTGGTGTAGAGAAGGTCCCAGGAGGAGGAGGTGGTGTCTGCAGAGACAAGCTTAGAAGGGAATCAGGATGTAGGAGTAATTGTGAACTTTGGAGGTGCAACCCCATGTTATGATACTGCACAACTGAAATACATGGTCAGGGAAGGGACACTTCATTCTCCTGTGGCTGGACTAGCAGTGTCAACCTCTTCAAAGCCACGAGTTTTAAGGAAATTGTTAATAGTGTGTTCGGCCTCCTATTCTCCCTTAAGGGTCCCTATCTTCTCCTAGCAATCAGAAAGCACTCAGACCAAGAAATAGAAAAAAAACTTCAGGAGACTTGAGAAAATTGCCCAGTAAAGCCCACTGCTGGTTTAGTTAGGGCAAGCTACAAAATCATCCACATACCTGGAGATAGCACTCTTATTGCAGCACTGGAGAAACTAGGAGACTCGCTGACAATACAGGGTGAAGGACTGTACTGTCAAGTTCTTGGATGTGAAAGAGCAATCAGGCTCTGAGGGCATTTGCTGTAAGAGAGGTATTTTGTACATGCAGGAAAGATGCTTTCCTACACGTAAGTTCACTTCACAGATTTGCAGTGTGTTCTTAGTGGATTTACAGTCAGTTTGTGATGTGAGCTTTAACACTCTAAGACAAGACAGGTGCATGATAAAACTGGAAATGCTTATCAGACTCTGTAGTAAAACAGTGAGACAACACGGTTGTAGCCAAAAGAAGCTGCAAAACAACAGGGCTGTTGCTACAGTCACCCTGTTTTCAAGGAACTTGCCCTGCCGTGAGCTGCATGAAGTTGCTGCTGCTGACGAGAGTCAGCAGTGAAAGGGAACACAAGCAGGGATGGATGCTGATGCATCCAACAACCAATGAACCACAATCCTCTCCTCCCTTGCTGTTTCCTTGTGCTCTGTGTGAACAGCTACATTGTCTTATCAATCTGAAGAAGGGGGCATGGGACCATGTTCACAGCTGTGACAAGAAGGGAAGTAGGTCAAAACCCCTACAAAAGAAGGCCCAGAATATAAAAGGAAACTGTATAGCAGTATGAGGCTCCTCAGTGTGTGTCAAGTTCACTGTGTCTGTTTTTCTACTGACCTTATAGATGGAGTACAGCAGCACTAGTAAAGTCAGAAATTTCTAATTTCATTACAGGGAAGGCATATCTGAGTGCCCACTAGGCTGAAACTGTTTAGTAATTTTAAAAATCAGTCTAAAGTAAGGCTTCATATCCATGTATAGTAAGTAGCCTGTATTTTCCAAGTGGGTTCGAAAAAAAACCCCAATCAATATACGTTAATCCTCTTAGCATCTGAAGTTGAGTTGCCAAGGCATTCTTTGAGAAATTCTGTGAGAAACCCCTACAGAAACAACTTGTGTTTGAAATTCTTCCCTCTTCTTTTGTTCCGTCCACCCTCTACACCTTTCATCACAGGCAAGCTACTTCTTAGGCCTTTGTTTCTTTGTGTTGCCTTCATCCCCCCCCCGCCTGGCTGATGGTAAGAGGAAAATACCATATATAGGATAACGATTTCTAAACCATATGTGCTTTACTTCAGGAAACAGGAAAAATGTGAAAAGTTTTATTGCATGGAGCAGTCACATACAGTCACATTTGCAGAAGGATTGAAGTGAAACGTTAATAATGCTGAACACTTCAGTTCACTGAGAGGAATGCATACCGCTACGGTAGTCTTTGAGTTCCAGTAGTACTAAGCAGATGCTTCAGCTAGCTTCCTTGCTTCCATTTCCTGCTTAGCCTTTTCTCGCAACTCCTTTTCTCTTTCAATAAGAAGTGCTTGTTCTTGCTCCCACTCCTTTAGCTTCTGCTCATATTTCGCAATGTCTTCCACTTCACACGCTGGCAGCTTTTCCTTGACAAGTTGGGTGGTCAGGGTTAACAGGCTTTCAGACTCAACCTTGCCAAGAGAATGCAGCTTAGAGTACAGCTCCTGTCGCAAAAAGGGATTTGGTGGGGAGTAAGAAGGAGAGATCCAGTCAGTCACAAAATAATCAGCCATAAAATACTTGGTTATAAGAACTAATATGCTGCTGTTTGAAACTATTAGCTGGGCTATACAGATCAGGTAACTATCTTACCCTGGCAAAGTGTTTAGACTGTGGTAGCTGGTGCCACTTCTTGAAACGCAAGTTAACTTCCACAGTAATTTTTTTGAGCAATAAAACTAAACCAACAAAGTTTTGCTTTCATTAACCATTGAAGTTCCCTTTATTTTTCCAAGTTCAGTTAGCTGGTGTTAACAAAAATCAGCTGAGGAGTCAACTACAATAAATATAATCTAAACAACCTTGGGTTTGTGTCTCACCTCAAAATCAGCTAAAGGATTTGCTCAGCACTGCACACTGCGTTATTATCCCTTTCAACAAACACACGTCATTTTAAGTGCTCTCTTACTAATGGCTTACTCCTACGATTTTTCTGCTGAACAGTTACTGTGATCTGAGGCTTGACTATACTTTCAGACAGTACAACAGAGCTAAAAAGGAAGGGGCATTTTTTTCAGGGATCCTCTACACTGAAAGCTAAGAGCAGAGCTTCAGCAAGAAACTGTGTGGTACTTCTTTCTGGTGCTTTATTGATCCAGATTTCATACAGCATAAAGATGTTAATTGACTTAAGATGATGAATCATCCAGTAATACTATTTCTCGCTTCCTGGAATCTTTAGCCTGGTGGCTCCCTACTGAACTGATTAATTGCCTTAAAAGTGCAGATACACAATCAAGGAGGAGTTTCCTGGGGGAGAAAGACAGCACGGCACTGGCAGATTTTTTACTCCTTGCTCACTCATTAGATAGCAACCATTTTCCTGATTGTTCTTTTAAACAAAACCTTTTACTGAGCCCAGTACTTGCAGAAATGTTTAAAGTATGTACACATCCTAAAGAAAGGCACATCCATGCTTCTTTCCTGAGCCCTTTGAATAAAACCTATTGTTCTGCATTGCAGGATGATGAAAAGATGATGTGGGGAATCATACACCTCCAAAAAAAATATGGCAATTGTGGGGCCACACAGATATCCAAACTTCCAGTTATCACTGGAAGCATATGCACTGTGCTGGTGGCCCACAGTGTTCCTCTGATGATCCTAGTCAACACTGGCAATAATCTGCAAACACACTGCCCCTCAGCTCCTGTCCTGAGGCTCTGAGGCCTCTGCACTTCTCTCTGCTTTAGCCAACGCAACCACAGGCTTTGCTGTGTTTTGCCAGACCCCTGAAGGTCTGAACTGGACAGATGGCAGATTAAAGACTCTTTAAAATGCTAAGCATGCAGGTCTGAGGGGCTTGGGTATTCGGCTCTGTGTGGTTTTTTTATTTTATGATAAAGAACAAAACCAAAACCAATGGATTCAAAGCTAATGGACTAAAATCAAACCCAGTAATATTTACATGTATTTGTCTCTATTTTGACTGAGATGCTAGTAAGCAGACAATGCATCAGCAAGAAACACAAAGAGACTGTACAGCTTGGGTCTGGGCAAGGAACTTGACAATTACACTCACGTTTACAGATTAGATATTCAGTTTAAATGTAACTGGTTTAGATCCTGCAGATTATTACTAATCCCTGCCAAGGACATGCTGAAAAGGGGGTTTATGCACTGAAGCAGTTATGAAATTGGGCTAAGGAAGGGCAATAAACTGGAAAGTAGCAGGACTTTCTCCTAAGCCAAGTACAACTGGACTCCTGCAATCTTCCCTGCTCTGCTGTGATACATTAGTGAAACTAATTTAGGAAAGCAGCAGGCTCCATGTCCTGCAGGTAACCATTTTTAAGTGGCTAAATCATTGATTTTCATAAGTAGTGTCCAGGGTTCTGCATGCAGACAGAGAAGGAGCACGGCTTTTAGAGAGGGTGTTCCCAGCATTTGTGTGATGAAATGCTTGCCCACTGATCATTGACACAGATGGAAGGAATTGCCTGAGGAAAATTGTACTGAGTACTGAGACTCAGCGTAGGGGTTCTGAAAACAGGTAATCACAACACAAATTACAGTGTCAGTCAGAGTCTAAATTACAGCTCTGAAGGCTTTATCTGGAAAAAGCCAAATGCCCTCAAGTCCTGTTAGCTTTAGTGGAAGTGAAGGACAAGCTGCCTCCCACACACCTATGTTAGCCTGCTGTGTGTTTTCCAGGTACTTCCACAAATGGTTGTTCTGAAGGCTGGTATGAGACACGGAGTCCATGTATGTGTAAAAAAGCCATGGAGAACATGTTACAGTTCTAGGCAGGAACTGTATGTCTGGAGAAAATCCACAAGGTCTTCCATGCATATGCAGGTGTGAAAGAGAACTGGGCAAGCAGGAAACGGAAGCAATTGGTTTTGAGCTCAAGGAGAAAGACTGGGAAGTACTGGCTAATGCAGGGGTGGACAAAGTACGACCCATGCAGCAGAAGTGAAGTTCCTGTGTTGGGATTACATCACACGAGGAGCAGATGATCTGTGATGGGGCAGAATGCCAACATCACTAGGTTGCTTCAGAGCTGCCACCTTCCCTCAGACTTTCACAAATTTCTAGTCAACTTCCCCACCCTGTGAACTACATCTGTAGGTGTTCAGCAGTTCACCTGAGAAGACTGGCTGGTGCCTGCCTAATGAATTTGAGTCTAGAGCTCTTTCAGGCTTGTCTGAAATGGCATTCTGACTTGAGAGCTCCTTTTCTCATCTTATTGGCATATAAATCACTGCTGGTCACATGTGGGCTAGGTCTTTCTTATATTCAGACTTTTCTGGTGAGAGCTTAGAGCTAAGCATTGGGACTGCAGTTTGGTAGCTCAAAGTCAGAGTACTCACTGCCACATCAGGAAGGTAGAGGTGAGAAGAAAACTACCTCTTGGCAGTAATCTGTCCCCAGTTCTGCGGCCCTGTTCTGAGCACTCTGCATTATTCTCTTCAGGGCTAGACAATGGATAGACAATGAGAGACTCCTAAAACTGTGTTGCTCCCTTCATCATTCACGGTAATTCATCCAGACATTAACTATTACATGCTGAGCACCCACTGATTCCGAACACTTTAACTAAAATGTTCTAAATGCCTACAAAACAACTTTAATATCTACAGAGTAGTGGCAAATAATTTATGTAAATAAAAATTAAAGAAAGGAAAAGTGTGTGTATGTAAGGTAAAACAATAGGATACAATGTCCAAGGCCATGACACCAATAGAAGCTGACAGGCCACAGAAACAGTACTCCTTCTGAACTATAAACCAGATTATCTTCAACATGAAGTATTTGATTTTTGCCACAACACAAATCAGATATGATAAAATAAAATGAGCTTGTTCCATAGATATGAGATGATCAAATAAAATGAACTCATTAAATAGCTGTGCCCTAGTGAACACCTGTTTGTGTTTCATGTTGTTATCAACAGCACAATGACCTAAAGAAAAAAGGGAGGCAATATAGCCTTACTTAACTCCCCAGACTGAACGTATAGGATCCAACATTCCTACTTAATTGTAACATACACAAATGGATATTAAATTCAGAGTGGACTCATGCCTGTTACAATTTATTTTAATGAGCAAGAGCCCACACAAGGTCAGATAATGGATTTGTAACGATATACCACTTTTGTGAACAGGATCAGATTTATCATTTTGATGTATGAAAAGTGAAGACAAAATCTCAGCGGACAGACAAAAAACAAGTAGCCTTAAGCACTTAACGTCTCTGTAGGCTACAGCTTCCTGTTTGAAGGAAGTGAAAATGTAAGGTGACACAAATTTCAAAAATGCCAGGTGGGATTCCTGATGCACTGAAGGGGTGTCAGTCTACCAGTCATAATAAGCCAGCACATATATTTTCTAGTACATATTATGGAGATCAACTACAGCTTAGAAGATTTAGATAAATGAAACTCTGTTACCTTGTATTGGCTGTAGTACTCGGGCACTTTAGACTGCTCTGTTTCTTCTGACTCTGCACACTGTGATTTCTGCTCTAATTCCTTGACTTCTTCTGCTGATTCTGGACCAGGTTTTGCTTCAAGGATAGACTTCAAAATGGTCTCCAGAGCAACAATCTGAAAAATTACATTTGTCATTTTTAGCACAAAGAATTTGGAAATACAATCTGAGTCACTGCCGCCACATTTACAAACAACTTCATGAGTTACCATGTGTTTTGAGATGACTTCTGTGTGATATAAAGAAAACTGAATTCTAAAAGGAAATGCGACTTACTCTTGGAAGAATTTTACACTGTACTTGCGACATCTGAGGTTGGACATTAAATCCCTGCATCAGAACAACTCCACCACTCGCTGTCAGTGGTACAACTCCCTCAGACTCAGATGCCGATGGGTATTTGCAGATCTGTCAGGGCTTAGGCTGATGTCTCTTCTCAGCCCGATACAGGGCCGTAAAGACTGATGCTAGATGGTAGTCACAGGGACAACAGCACTAGCATGATACACAATCACAGATACTTCTAAGTATTACTATGGAATGTTTGAAAAATATAACCTCTAGTAGATCATCTCAATATCTCTTTGGTGACAAGAAGCAGAGAAATCACCTGTTCAGAAGCAAGAACATCAATTCCTATAATTAGTGTGATAATTCAACAGGAAAAAGGGAAATGTAGGCATACAATATATTGGTACAGGTACACTTTCAATCTGTGACACTTCTGTTCTCTTCCTGCTTTTGTCTTTCCAGGTAGTAAGAGAATTACTCTCCTCTAAGCTAATTGCACGTATCAAAAGAATGCATTAGCTTCACTAAGGGACTTGGTAAATTATGTCTGTATGCACTATTGATACAAAAGATAGAAATACAATATGGATACTGCCGCTGTTTTGGGAATAACGTGATCTCCATAACTGGAATTATTGAATGCAGGTTGCCTGCATTTTAAAGTTCAGCTTTTACAAATGGAAAGAGCTCTTATCCCTCCCTGAATTCTAATTTACCAGTAATAAGAAATTACTCCATGCAGCCTTTGAATCTGTGACACTTTCTCCAATCAAAAGGGATCTTGACACTTAGTTTCATTTTCCTAGAATATACAATACTAAAGGAATAAAAATTCGTCTTACTTGAAATAACATTCTTGACATGGAAATGTAATTTTTAAACTAGCAGTACTGAAACAGGCTGAAAGCAACAACGAAACAAGAACTAAATATATACACTCATTTAAAGACTTTCTCAGACAATTAAAAAAAGCAAAACTTGTCTTGATTGTTTCCAGTTAAATAATAACAGTACAATTCTAAAACAGAAATTAATAGGAGCTTAAAGCCTGTAGGAAAAGAGACTGATAATGATTGGGCAAACAGACCTGCACGTTGAAAAAAGTTTATGTGAAAACTTCCCTTTCAGATAATGAAATTTATTCAGCTAGAAAATAACATTGCATTTTGGAAAAGAATCAAGTTCCCAAAACTAAGGGTGTGTCTTTCTCAGGTTACTCTGTGATTGTGCAGGCATGCAAGGACAATGATTTATAGCACAGCCCACACTTCTCATACTACAATGTCAACAAAGGCCTGCGCAAGAGAGGCTTAGGATACTACAGGGAAAAAGAGTTTAAGGTGCTTGAGGTTGTTCCCACTGCATCTGCTGCTGAATTCATTGGAAGTTGACTGACCTCATCACCCTCAGGAATATTGCATTTTAGTTGTAAATAGTAATTAAAAATACCTTGTAGAGATTTTGATAGAAAAATCTTAATAAGCATTAGGGTAGAAAAGACCAGATGATGCAAATCAACATACTCTAATTACTTAACATCAGACAAGAATACGAAACAACATATTTTCCTTGTTCTCCTTTCTGCATTGGGGTCACAAAAATGCATTAGGGAAAATTATTCTGATAATAACAAACCATCTCTTGGTCCTTAGCTTAAGTGACTTGCACTATTGTTCATACACTGCACTATCTAAAACCCAAATGAGGCCATGAATCTCTTCAGGGAGGTTTCTGTCATGTCTCACAGTCATTGCTTTTTGGGCTTAACTACTGGATTTGTACAGAGATGCAGCACTACTGAGTAATCAGTAACAGCCTTGTAAGTTCTTAGTTCTTCACCGAACAAAGTAAAAAGTGTCTCTGTGAAGATAGTATTGTTAGATATTACTAGTGTTGACTATTTCTACAGCATCAATACACAGAAGGATGGAATCTTCTGTGGACCTGCTGTACCACAGACAGATGCAGCCTTGCTTCAAGACTAGGATGTTCATTCTACAACCCAGAGCAAGCTGAGGAGTTCCTTAATTTGTCTACGATTTGTAGCAGAAAAAAATCGCAAGTGTATTACACTGAGTTCTTTACACTTGGAGTAGGGAAGAAATCCCAAAAGCCATCACTCAAAATAGTGGAAGTTTGCAGATGCGACACTTTCTTCCTTGCATCGCCCAGTACTACAGAGCTACTTCTGAGAATGGAACAGGCAGGAGAACCTGCTGAGCAGGTCTTTGTTTATGAAATGCAGAATGCAAGCCTAGTGCTGATGCTAACAAAAGGGAGATTCCCATTACCAGGGACACCTTCAGCAAAGAGTACCAAGAACAGGAGGTGAGATCTCAGTGCTGTTTCTCTACTCCATCCCATGTGCTGGCAGTTTCCTAAGTCTGATGACCCACAGCCCTTAGTCAGTGCCGACCTCACAAACTGATCGAATCTATCTATCCTACTCAACTTAGGGCACTACAACCCTTCTAGCAACTGCTCTGTACCACTTTTGGACCAGCATCACTCAGGATACCATCTCAGAGGGCACAGAATACATGGGATTAGCTGGGAGAAGAATAAGATGTGATATTTTATCCTCCCTGCTAAGAAGTATGCCTCTGAATTCAGAGTCCAAAAGCACAGGAAACTAAGGTGTCTTCCAATCCCCAGAGGCATGTGCTTTCTGTGACACAGACTCAGGTGTCTCCATACGGAGAGGAAGACTTAGGAACATACTTAAACGGCAATGCCAGTAGACATCATCACTGGCTCATCAGCTCAAGCAGTGGTTGTGTTCTAAATGTTACTTCTCTTGCCTTCCAAAGACCTCTGAAGTAGTGCCGGGTCTCTCCTCATTAGCAAGGCACAGAACTCACAGGTTTTAACTGAGTCTGGCTCGTATGAAATTCCCTCTGTTCAGGGTGTTATACCCTTCATACTTACAGCTTCTTTGCAGATTTTGCTGTCCCCTGACGATGAAGCCACGTTCTCCATCACTTGCAAGGCTCTGTTCAAGTATCCAGGTGTCCACATCAGCGGCATTAGATTGTATACAGCTCTTAGCCCTTTATTCAACTCCACCTTCCCTGTCATAAAGAAAATATTGTAGCGTTAGTACTTCAATGCTTGAGTCTCTTTTGCACAGCTTCATGGGTATTACATGTTTGGTTCTGGTCCCTCCCATTTCCCCTTCCCCACTGCCTAAAAATTTGCTCATGATAGGAAAAAAGAAAGAGTGGTCAGGTTTTCTAGTTGGCTGGCAGTTTTAACAGCAGCTCTGTCTGAACCTCTCAGTCAAGTGTCTCCTTAGCTTTCAGGGACTGAAGGTGCACCATGGGTGCACGAAATTTGAGGCTCTGGATTCACCTCTGTGGACTTTAGGGTCTGCTCACACAAGTGTCATTGGCCAGACTGTATGGTATTTACAGCACATGCTCTGGCTAACTATATAGCTTAGTACCCTTATTTCTGCTAGGGCTTCCTGAGAGGAATATGGGAGAGGAAATAATGGAAGATCTGCCAAAATGAAAAGTCTGATTCTTTAAGACATTCTGTGCAACAAGGACTTCACTGACTTTAGTGGAACCACTGACAACGTGGCTTTTCTTCTGACAGTGACTGCTAGGGAACATGAAACTCCTACGAGGAGACATACATCACATTGCAGTCGTTGTGTACTAATTTACAATGATTGTCACTCAAGGTTTTGATTTTGTCATTGTCAATGCTACAAATAACACTACTTCACTGTAGGTTATAAGAGCTGTATCCAAGTTCTCAGTCTAGCTTGCACTTTAGCTATGTGGGGCTTAGGGACAGTTTAGTGGTAGACATGGCAATGTTCAGTTAATGGTTGGACTTGATGATCTTAAAGGTCTTTTTCCAACCTAAACGATTAGGACATAAAACTATGAAACACAACTTTCTGTCCCTTTACATGGAACCGAACATCTTATGAAAAACAAGGTAGTAAGTGCACAAGACAAAGCTTATGGACTATGACTGAATTAAAACAGCTGAGGTGCTTGAGGCCACTCCGTACCTGTAGATGACTGCCTCTCTCAGAGGTCAGTTCCATTAGTGCTGGCAAGACCATGAAATAGGTGACATAACAGTAAATAGCTTTTCATCTACTGAATGTCAATGCCATGGAACAAGTACTACTGCTCACAGAGAAGACTGAAGAGCATTTCTGAAATACAGCCACTACTCAATCAATCTATATGACACAACACTCCAAACTGAATGCCAACTGGACAGCAAAGCCCCTATTTGTATCAGAATCTCCACTGGTTAACAAACTACAGCTCTATGGAAACACCCTACTTTCAAATTGATTTTCGTACTTATCTCCCCTTTGGACTGAATATGATTTTTTTCTCTTACAGGTGTGATAAATCTAAACCAGCATCCTAACTCTGACACTACACATTGTATTTTGAGGCCATATTTTAAGAAAAATTTCACTTTTTATTACTTCCAATACATTCTAGAATAAAATATAATGCAGTAATGGAATAACTGCATAATCCTGAATTTTAAATTATTTAATTACTTTAAGGTAAATAATCATTCTGTAGAGAAGGATAAAACCTATGTGCACCACATTCCTCTAAAGATTAGAGGAAATTTAAGGATTACTTACCCTACTCCCTTTCCTTCCAATTCTGCATGTACTCTAACCGTTCTTTAACAGCATAGTGTATCATCAGCAGTAACGACTCCCTAACATATACAGGATAAAGGCACTGCTATCTGCTGTTCACAACAGAAACATTAGCTTTACAGTGAGTAGAAGAGTTTTAAACATAGCGCGTTTGAGAGTGTGCTCTCTGAACTTCTTAAGGAGTATTTTAAGTAGCTAACTGTAAGAAAAGTCTGCTGTCCATAACTTTAAATTTCTGTTATAAACTCTGCACTTTTGGGTTTTCTTGAAAATTTGTTGATCCACAAACCAATCAACCATACTGTTTCTTAAGAACTTTTTTTTTTCTTTCAGGTGCCAATCCAAACCTGCAAGGAACCCTAAAGGAAGTTCTGAAGCTGTCTGATAAAGCACACCATTCAAAACAGTACCACCTCCAGGCTTACAAAACAGATTTACATCTTAAGTTTGAAGCTGTTCACTCTACTACTTCTGCCTTTTTTTGTCTTAGCCTTCTCCTCAATCACATTTTAATAAAGGAAAGATGTCAATTCAATTATGAAGTTAGAAGGTAAAAGATGGCTGTGAGGAATGTAAAACTTACCAAGGAGTGCATAGCCATACAGCTGGGAGCTAAACCCCACAGTGCTTGTTTGCTTTAGACCCGTAAGCACTAGTGATGCTCCGAGATTTCTCTCCTCTTCCCACTGCAAATAAGGTAAACTAAGTAAGTGTTCCCTGGCAAACACAAACATAAAATGGCAGCAGCCAAAGACAGCCTATGTAGCTTTTATCATGTCTTAGCAATAAAGAATCATTAAGTATGTTGTGTTCAGAGTTGCAGTATGTATATCCTGAGGGATAGTACACATTATACTGAGAAACACCCCTTTTTTCAGAAAACAGTAAAATATGAGCAGTTGACATTTTCCATGGAGGTCAATCAGTGCACTTCCTTCGGTATGGAACGTTACACTGATTTGCATTGGCCAAGCTCTCTCTCTATTCTACCACTTGCTCCAAGCTAACCGCTGAAAATTACATGGCTTCTATACTACAGCAGCCTCTTCTAAGTATGTGATAAGGTATATACTTCACTGTGCCTCAGTAGAAAATGCTGAGGGAAGAATATGCGGCCATAGGCTGCTCTGAGCTCAAAATCTGCGCTGTGAAAAGAACATACGCAACTCACCACAGTCACTGTACACCCCAGGATTAAAAGTACAGCTGTCTCTCCAGCTAGAAAGAAGTAGCAGCTGTATGAGCCAGACCACTAGTGATGGCTAAAGATGAGGACCCATTAAAACCACAAGAGTAATGTGGTATGGGATAGTAGAGCACATTTTTCAAGACTGGAAAAACACAAATATCAAGGATAAATGATTCTTTACTGCAAGTGAAAGGAACTGAACAACTCCCATTGCTAAGAAAATGAGGAAGCTATAAAAGGCAATAGACTGGAGGAAATCTGACTCTCTGACATGTTTTTTGTGGCAGAGTAATTCAGTCCAGTTGAATAAAGCCTTAGGGCATCCGTAATATGCATTCTGGAAGATGGTTATGCAAGACAAATGGAGGCTTCAAGCATTTTCCTTATTAATGACAACATGCTATTGAAGGCTTATGCCAAACTACATGAAAAATAGCAGATACAGCAGAGCCCTTTGGTGATACCTAACAGAGCCCCTTCTGCAAAGGCAGAATAATGCTACTTTCAAGAGCCAGAACTGTCATATTGGCCTTAAAAAAGAGAGATATAAATAAGAAACTCTTAATCCTGGGAGACAAGAGAAATGTAACAAATTTAGTTTTAAAAAAAAAACATGCTAGAAACTGTACACCCAAAGCCAAGTGGGATAGTAAACATCCTAGTGAAAATGCTTCATAATTCTGCAATATCACCATTACCAAGCTCTAATGGCGAGCAACATTCACTTTAAGAGTCCCATACAATAGGGGACATAGGTGTTTTTGTGTTAACTGACAGAGCCCTCTTTGAACTGAACTTAAATATCATTTCATATCCTTTCAATGGGCATACATTACATATGAAAATCCCAATACACCTTCTCTTTCAGAGAAAGGAGCAAAGTTATTTGATGGCTTTCACAGTTTGTTGTTTCTTCTTTTCTTTCTTCTGCAGTTGTAAAAATAATCAGAAAAAATATTGAGTATTTATTTTTTCCAGGTAAACTTAAGGGAAATTAAATATCTTCAGGACTGAGTACCTGATTGACAGCCACCATCACACTTACACACAGAGGCTTTGTCTATCATTTTGAGTGCTGTCAGCTTACCGTATATTCAGACTTAGTTGCCAGGTACTGGTATAGAGTATAGAGAGAAAGAAGCTGAGTTGACAATTCATCAAAACTTTCTTGCAGCATGATCTCTGTTACTATAGACGTAGCATCTATGAAGGAAAACAACAAATAACCAGTAAGTGCAAATTTCGCGCAGCTCCCTTTTGCACACAATGATGTTCACTGATACTTTATTGCTGTAGTATGTTTTAAAGTAGTTAGGGAGAAAATTAAAGATATCTTATGACTAGTAGTATAGAACTAGTCTTACTCACTTGGGTTATTCACATACACTGTGAGGAGGAAGAATGGGATGAATAGCATGAGACCACAGCAAAAGAGCTTTCCAAACTCATCTTAGCTCTACACTCTTCAATTGGCTCTTCCTTGCTCATACTTTCAATCATTAACATTAAAAAAAAAATCTAAAAATTACTTCTTTGTTTGTGTGTTTAGATAACAAACAAGAGAAGACCGGCTTAAATTCACTGTCCTTACAGTGACAGGAGAGCAAAATGGAGCAGAAATGTTGTCACAGCACTCACTGTATTCACTAAGCAGTGCTCTGGAGGAACTCCACAGAGAGTCCGAGAGACAACCCCTGTCAGGAAGGACAGTTTGTTAAACAAAAGGCCTTGAGCCTATCACAGGAAAGAAAAATTGAGAGAATAAGGGGGAATTCACGGATAGGGGGACTCAGAAAATAAAACAAATCTATGTGTTCATTTGCTGCTTAGCAAAACCTTTATGATAAAAGCTCCAGAAAAGTCCTACAATTCTATTTTCTCCTCCAGTTATTTCCTTTACAGGAGGCTTACACAAGGAAAAGCCCACTGCAAGTCTACAGAACCAGAAAACGTGCAGTGAAAAGAAAATCTGAAATATTTGCCACCAGACATGAGAATATTCATCTCCATAATTAAATAGTTGTCTGGTCCAATTCCGTTTAGTGATTTTCACTTTCCAGTTTAGTCACTTCTAAAAGGCTGCACTTTCTGAAGTCAGGAGCATGTTTCTGCAAATAGTGTGTGCTACCAGCAGTGACAACACCTGATGTTTACAGTCACTGCCTGGGACTGGGATGCAGAAAGGCTCTTGCTGATACTTATTCCTACAGTGACCAAGGCCACTGCTGGCTCTTGTGTGCCACGCTGGGGGTGCCGGGTAGTAAGAGAGGTCACAAGGAAGTAAAAGGTTGCACCTCCGGGGGGTAAAAGACAGGACAGGTGACCAACGAGAGTATTCCATCCCATATACGTCATATTTAGTATAAATTGAGTGATCACAAGATTTTCTATCTTTTTTTTCTGCAATGGCTGGTGTCCAGGGAGGACTCCATCTGATCTCTCACTTTTGATCTGCAACCTGAGTTTCTGAATCCAGCTCCCGCCACTGCTGAGCCTGGGCCTTCTCCAGTGCTGCCTGCTCTGCAGCATCAGTGGGGATTGCTGTCAGGGCGGGGAAGGGAGAAGTCGGGTGGCCTGTCCAGCCCTAACCCGTGACAGCAGTCAGCAGTGAAAGACAGGAACCTCAACACGGCCATCTCCAGCAATCGACAGAAAGTCTAGACAGTTTACATAAGTGGTTTCTGAATAGATAAATGCAGGTAAGATGAACTCTACCAACATGCATTTCAATTAGTGACTCGAATTGTCACTAATAAAACCTATGATGTCATTAAGTCCCTGCTCGAGGAGGAAGGCGAATCCCCCTCCTGGCCTCTCTCACCTTCCCAGTTGCCCTTAAATGGCAGATATAGAGCACTGGAGGTTGAGAGACAGGCAAATGAGGGATCATCTGTGGAGTTGTCCAGAGTGAGACAGTGTGCCTCACACATTAGGTCTTCTGCTCTTAAAAAAAAAAGGAAAGTAGTTGTCATAGGAGATTCCCTTCTTCTCAGGGAAACAGAAGGCCCCATATGCCCACCTGACCCAACCCACAGGGAAGTCTGTTGCCTCTCTGGGGCCCAGGTTAAGGATGTTATTAGGAAGCTCCCAGGTTTGGTGAAGTCTTCAGATTATTACTCGCTTTGGGTAACGCAGATTGGCAGTGATGAGGTAGAAGAGAGACAAACAGAGGCAATCCAAAGGGACTTCAAGGCACTGGGGTAGATGCTACAAGGATCAGGTGAGCAGGTTGTGTTTACCTCAATTCTTCCAATTGCAAGGAAGAATACTGAGAGGTTAAGAAAAACTCACGAGATTAATACTTGGCTTAAAGGGTGGTGTCAACAGTCCAATTTTGGGTTTTTCAGCTATGGGGAGACCTACACAGCACCTGGTCTACTGAAACAAGATGAGGTTCAGACGGCTGTAAGGGAAAAAAGGATCCTGGATCATGAGCTGGCTAGGCTCACTGAGAGATATTTAAACTAGATATTGAAGGGGGAAATGGTTACAACCATATTAAATGAAGATGACGCTGGGAAAGGCATAACAACATTGGGAGCGAAAATAGTAGCCCAGCTGAAGTGCAACTGTACTTCATTGGGGGCTTCAGGTACTTCATCAGGGGCCCAGACCGAATGTCTTTAGGTGAACGCCTGCAGCATGGGCAATAAACAAGAGGAGCTGGAGATGCCTGTGTGCCTGCAGTGCTATGATATAATTGACATCATGGGGACACGGCAGAATTACTCCTATGACTGGTGTGTTGGATTAGAACAGTATAAGCTCTTCAGGAAGGATAGATAGGGAAAATGAGGAGGGGTGTTGCCCTCTATGTCAACGAACAGCTAGAATTCATGGAGCTCCACCTGGCAACGGATGATGAACAGATCGAATGCCTGTGGGCCACAGTAAAAGAAAGGCAGGAGATATTACAGTGGGGATCTGCTACAGACCACCTGACCAGGAGGACCAAGTAGACAGACAGGAGGTTGCTGCTTGTTCACAAGCCCTGGTCCTCATGAGGGACCCCAGTATCAGTTGAAGAGACAACACAGCAGGGCATAAACAATCCAGGAGATTCCTGGAATGCACTGATGATAACTTCCTTCTCCAAGTGACAGAGGAACCAACGAGGAGAGATGCCATGTTAGATCTCATTCTCATCAGTAGGGAAGGGCTGGTGGTTAAAGTTAAGCTTGTGGGTAGCCCTGGCTGCAGTGACCATGAGATGGTGGAGTTTAAGATCCTCAGGGCAGTGAAAACACGGATGCTCAGCAAGCTTGAAACCCTTGACTTCAGAAGAGCTGACTTTGGCCTCTTCAGGAATCTCCTTGGTAGC